AAAACGCAATTCAGTTAAGTACAATAAAATCGCGAGTCATATTTTATTACCCCGAATTCCACACTTGAATCACGCGGATTCCACTGCCCAAACCTCCAACAGGTTATGGGCCCAGTTTTTTCGTGCGGACAATCGGGAAGTTCCGAGTTTTACGCGTTTTAAGTTTTCGGTCAGTCGCGCGCACGAGTATTTTTTTTTTTTTTCGAGTTGGAGGAAGATGGCGGACGCTGCGAAGTTTTCGTTCCCGAGACTTTCCAACACGAATTGGAACGTTTGGAAGTTCCGGATGGAGATGCTGCTTACTCGTGAGGAGTTGTGGCATGTCATTGACGAGGCCAAGCCCGAGCCCGTTACTGCGCAGTGGACGAAGGAGGATAAAATGGCCAAAGCTACCATCGGTCTCACCATCGAAGACAATCAGCTAGGGTTGCTCAAAAATGCAACGAGTGCGCGTGCGATGTGGAATGCGTATAAAACACACCACGAAAAGGCTACTGTGACGTCACGGATTTCGTTGCTCAAAAAGTTATGCACCAAGAATTTGCACGAAGGAGGCGATATGGAATCGCACCTGCTGGACGTTGAGGAGCTTTTTGATCGGTTGCAGGCGGCTGGTTTGGAGCTCGAGCAGGAGATGAAAGTGGCCATGGTTTTGAGAAGCCTTCCGGAAACGTACAATGGCCTGGTGACTGCGCTCGAGAGTCGCCCTGATGAGGATATTACGATGGAGCTGGTGAAGTCAAAACTTCGAGACGAATACCAGAAGCGGATGGATCGTGGTCGCAGCTCCGATGACAGCAAGGCACTGAAGACGATGGTGAAATCGAAGTCTGTGGAAAAGGTTTGCTTCCATTGTAATAAGCCCGGCCATTATCGCAAGAACTGCCGGAAGTATCTGGCTTCACTGAAAGGCGAGCCGGATAACCAGAAGCAGCAAGCATCAGGAAGCAGCAGGAGTTCCAATGGACCAAAGGCGAAGCATGCTCAGGATTTCGGTGCACCCCTACTATTCTGGGCGAGTGCAGGTCGAACCACCGATGCCGAGGAGGTGAAGTGCTGTTTTGCAAACGGTTTGAAGAGCTACTGGTTCGTCGATAGCGGCGCGTCGCAGCATATGGCAGGCGACAGGAGATTTTTCTCGGAGCTGGTGGAAGACGTGCATGTCGATGTTACTCTTGCGAACGGGAAGAAGACAGTTGCTGCAGGCGTCGGCAACGGGATGCTGCTGTGCGTGAACGGCAACGGAAAGGATCAAGAGGTGAAGGTACAAGATGTCCTGTTCGTTCCAGAGCTGGAAGGTAGCCTGTTGTCAGTAAGTAAGCTAGTAGCTAAGAATATTTCTGTTGTGTTCGATTCACATGGATGTCGAATCCGAAATACCAAGGGCCATACGGTGGCCGTCGCCGACCTGTGCGACGGGATGTATTTGTTGAGATGTTCTGCGAGGTCTATCTATGGTTGCTGCTACTGCTCGGCATACCGATTTCTGCCAGCATACGTGGCATCGTCGTTTTGGCCACAGGGACTACGACGTGGTGGACCTGATCAACAAAAAGGAGCTCGGCACCCAGATGAAGGTGGTTGATTGCGGGATAAAGCTGGTGTGCGTGTGTTGCCTTGAAGGCAAGCTGCACCGGCAGTCGTTCCCGAAGGTAGCGCAGAGGCGTGCAACGGAAATACTAGAGCTAGTGCATTCGGACGTGTGCGGTCCGTTCAAGCACGTCACCCCAGGAGGAAACAAATACTTCCTCACATTAATCGACGACTATAGTCGATATGCTACGGTCTATCTTCTGGCAAATAAGTCTGATGTGCCTGGGAAGATCAAGGAATTTGTGAATATGGTTAAGAACCAATTCGACCGGAAACCGAAGGTGATAAGGTCAGATAACGGTGGCGAGTTCGTAAACAACGAGCTCCGAAGTTTTTTCGCTGAGGAAGGCATTAAAGCTGAGTACACTACCCCATACTCCCCTCAGCAGAATGGGGTAGCCGAACGAAGAAATCGTTATTTCCAAGAAATGGCATTGTGTATGCTTATCGATGCCAACCTTCTGAAGGAATTCTGGGGTGAGGCAGTGTCGACAGCGACGTTTCTCCAGAATCGGCTGCCATCCCGTTCCGTCGACCGGACGCCGTTCGAACGCTGGTTCGGACGTAAGCCAGTGATGCGGGATCTGAAAGTTTTCGGATGCGAGGCCTATGTCCACATCCCAAGCGAGAAGAGGGGAAAGTTGGAGAGCAAGGCCAAGAAGATGATTTTCATTGGCTACTGTAGCCAAGCCAAGGCGTATCGGTTCCTCGATTTGGAGACTCGACGGGTGACTATTAGCAGAGACGCTCACTTTCTGGAACTGGGAGCGGAGATCCGTTCAGAAGGAGATTGCGGCTCAAAGGATGTTGAAGTCGTGATCGGCCGAACCGAAGAGGATTTGATTCCGGAAGTGGTCCCGGATGAGGATGAAGAAGATAACGAAGACGGCGATGAATCTTTCTATTCCGGATCAGATGAGCAAAGCGATTCAGCGGGAGATACGGACGGTGAAGCCACAGGAGGAGAAGCTAGTGGCCTGCACCGATCGCAACGAAGCACGCGGGGTGTTCTTCCGCAGCGGCTGAACGACTATGCAGTAGGTGAGGTTAGCCTAGCTACCTACTGCAGTGAAGAACCGACGACGTACGAGCAAGCGATGGCTTCCGTTGACAAGAAGAAATGGCTGACAGCGATGAAGGAGGAGATGCGTTCCCTGGAAGAAAATGATACCTGGGCGTAGGTGAAGCTTCCTGCGGGGCGCGAACCCGTTGGTAGTCGATGGGTGTTTAAGAAGAAGGAGGATTCGGATGGTCAAGTTGTGCGCTTCAAGGCCAGGGTTGTAGCGCAAGGCTATTCTCAGCGATTCGGGCGTGACTTCGAGGAAGTGTTAGCGCCGGTTGCGATGCAACGAACATTCCGGGTACTACTGGCTATGGCGAGCAGCAAGAAGATGGAGGTGAGGCATATTGACGTTAAGTGTGCTTACCTCTACGGCCAGTTGAAGGAGGAGATTTTCATGGCTCAGCCACCCGGTTTCGAAGTTCCCGGAAAGAAGGACTGGGTCTGCAAGCTAAACCGGAGCATCTATGGCCTGAAGCAGGCCGCTCGGGTTTGGAACCATACTATAAAGGATTTCCTCATTAGCATTGGGTTCCAACAGTCTGCCTCGGATGCCTGCTTGTTCATCAAGGATCTGAGGAACGGAGAGCGAATGTACCTGCTCTTATACGTGGACGACATGATCGTCGTTTGTCGTCTGCAGGAGGAGATCCTTAAGGTTGAGGAGCAGTTACGGAAGAAGTTCAACATCACTTCCTTGGGAGTAATCCGTCATTTTCTTGGGATCAGTGTGAAACGAGGAGCGGATGGAGTTTACTCAATCAACCAAGCATCTTTCATCCGGAAGATTGCCAAGGTCTACGATTTGGAGGAAGCGAAACGGTCGACTATTCCGATGGATACTGGCTACTACAAGAGCAGATTGGAGTCGAAGAGCTTGGCGAACAACGTCGAGTATCATCGTTTGATCGGATCGCTGCTGTATATTGCCACCAATACCAGGCCTGATATAGCAGCATCAGTGTCAATATTGAGCCGGAAGATCAACAACCCCTTGCAAGCGGATTGGAATGAACTCAAGCGGATTGTAAGGTACTTGTGCGGAACAGTGGACTACAGATTGTACTTCGATGCTGGCAACCTGAAGCTGGAAGGTTTCTGCGACGCCGATTGGGCAAGTGACACTGCTGATCGGAAGTCGAACAGCGGATTCGTCTTTCTTCTTGGCGGTGCAGCTGTGAGCTGGGGAAGTCGCAAGCAATCATGCGTGTCTACTTCAACGATGGAAGCCGAATATGTGGCGTTGGCAGAGGCTGGACAAGAAGCTGTGTGGCTACGTAGTCTGTTGAAGGAGCTCAACGAGGAACAACATAGTCACACCATCGTTTGGGAAGACAACAAAAGCTGTTTGGATTTCGCTACTCTGGAGAAGCAGAACCGTCGTTCCAAGCACATAGATACTAAGTATCACTTCACCAGAGAGCTTTCATCATCAGGGGAGATTATCCTGAAGTATCGCGAAACGGACAACATGGTCGCGGACATAATGACAAAACCGTTGGGAGCTGTCAAGGTTCGGAAGTTTTCCGAAATGCTGGGCCTCCGGAGTGAAGCAGCCGGCCAACCCTGAATATCGAGGAGGAGTGTTGAACCGTCTTGTTCCCACAGGGCATATAGTGCGATGTCACAGAGTTGGTAAACCTATTCTATCTCTTTGTTTTTGCTATCGATCAGTTACAAATAAAACGCAATTCAGTTAAGTACAATAAAATCGCGAGTCATATTTTATTACCCCGAATTCCACACTTGAATCACGCGGATTCCACTGCCCAAACCTCCAACAAAGTGCATCCCACTCGACAGAAGTTTCTTCAATACTTCCATCAATATCTTCATGTCAATATTTCCAACAAGTATATTCGGGAGTTCATCAAAACAAGTTCACTCATCATCATAGGCAACACAAAGGATTTCGGTGAAATGGTATTCGGCCAAATTTTCATAGAATTTTTTTCGCCCCTTTCTAGCTCAAAACCTGGCTACGCCCTTGCTCATCATTAATATTGTTGTATCCGATGGAATATTCCGAGTCAAATTACAACCACCTTGACAAAAGTGGCTCCATCTGCTGCTGTAGTCTAACAGAAGGGGAAAATGAGGGGCAATATTGAAACGTGAAATCAAACTTTTTTGTTTTTGCGTCAATATGTTCATCGATATTTTCGTCGTGAATATTTGCATCAATACTTTTGAGCATTGACAATATTTTTGACCGTGTGGTGCTTGCTTTATACATTGCCTGTCGCACATTTCATTACCCCCCTCCCACCTACGTACTTTATGAACGACAATTTGTTTTTCACAAATCCGAGAAGAACAACCAATGAAATCAGCTCCCTCTTTTCAGGTGAATGGGACTGCGAATCGGACCAGGACTGCACGGGAATCGGCCCCGACCGGGACTGTGCCCTGCCGGTGCAGGAATTTGATCTGGAACGGATCATGCTCCATGAAGGATTTTCCGTCCGCGATCAGCACAAAGCGAACGACATCGCCTTGGTGCGGCTGGCCAGGGATGCAGAATACAACCATTTTGTGAAACCGATTTGCCTTCCCGAGCCCGGCTGCGTGCCAAAAATGACCCGACTGTACGATGGCGTACTGGTGGCTTCCGGGTGGGGAAAGACGGAGAATGGTTAGTGGCTGTTTGATTGAGTTTGAGGAAATATGATTTAAAAGTGATTTTCTTCACCAGTCTCGTCGAGTCGCTACAAGCTGTACACCGAGCTATGGTCGACGGATTCCCAAAGCTGTAAGGAGTCCTACGCCAAGGGGATTCGAGTTCTGCTAACGGAGGCTCAAATTTGTGCCGGAGGTAAGGACGGACAGGACACTTGCAATGGCGACTCCGGAGGACCGTTGATGAAGGAGGTGAGCGAGCAAGGCCGGCACTATGTGATAGGAGTGGTGAGCTTCGGACCGAAGAAATGCGGAGAACAATTGCCAGGAGTGTACACAAAAGTGGAGCACTACCATCAGTGGATCGTGCAGAAAGTGATCGAGTCATCTTGAATAAATATCGTAGCATTACAAACGAATTTTAAGTCTGCGAAGTAGCTGGCATCTTATCCAGATTGGCAAGGTAATCTTGAGCCAATCTGTTTACATTTCCCGCATTACCAATGTAACGCATTTCAATCTTGTAATCCCTCATCCAAACACAACGTTTGTCTTTCTTATTGCAAGTGCTTTCCTCCCGGCTTTCCCCCAGGGGACAGTTTATAAACACATCGACCAGCAATGACAGGGCCGGGTGGACAGCGCAGCAGCTCGCATAATCCACTGTCGTCCGCATGGGACCCATGAGCTGACAGCTACTTTGTCACAAACGACGACGACGACGACGACATGATGTGATGTGGAGCAAACAGTAGACCTTTCTTGGCAAATAAATCTTCCTTCGGTTCCTTCCTACCTTCAGACTGACTGGACTGATGTGTACGAAAAAGCAAATTTGCCTTCTTATCGTCGTCCGAGCAAATGCGGCTCACACATTCCCGGGGACATCACTTCATCATCCTGGTGGCTGCTGCTGCTAGATGATTGCAGAGGCTAACTGTCCCGACAACCGACCAATTCCGAGTATTTGAACTTGGCCACACTGGGGCCGCGCTCCCCCTCAGTCACCAATAGAGCTGCAACAGTCAGGTTCCAGGGAAAATATTTTTCTATGCAAATTGTTGGCCCACCCTCTGTCAGACGAGTCTTCTTACCAGCCATGGACGTCTTACTCGGTCGGATGTATAGAGATGCTGTGGGTAGGCAGCAGATTGCCCTGAAGAGCTCAAGGAAAAGAGTCGATATTTGCCCCGGTTGCTGTGTCAGCTCTGAACGTTTGAAGAGATTTTTCCCTCGTCCCCTGCGGAGGCCCATATATGCAAATGCGGTTGTTTGAAAATGAATTTGTCATACTTTCAGTTTATGTTGCACCGGCTTTGGGTGCACAATGTGCATATTGGATGCCCCAGAGGATTGGACGACAGGTTGCTACCTACTTTTCACAGATCTCACTTTCTTCGGAGTGCAGTCATTTGCTGGTGTAGGAAGAATGCCGGCAAAGCTTCGAAATAGGGAAATACCGGAAAGTTCGTTTGCTTGTGTCAATCAAAGTGTGGGTTCGGGATACTGATGTTCTTTTGTGGGATAGCATTTAGATGTTCAGAAGAGGTTCACTGCTGGGTATGACAAACTTGAGAATGAATAAAAGTTATTCCTCTATTTTAAAATATTCAAGGTTTCAAATGTGATCTGATTTAACAGAAAACCAATGGAAGCTAAACTACGCTCAAAATTAATGATTGCCACTGGAGACATTTCGATAAGGGTTTCGAAGCCTGAAGGACAAGCTCCCAAATCCCACAGAAACATAATCGCCCTCAAGCTAGTAATTTTGATGACTGGCAGCAGACCGAAACAGGTGAGAGAAACTGAAAGAATGTGAAAAAAACATGATCTGACTTTGTGCCAAAGCGATTCTACAGAGAAGAAACAGAACAGGTCTGGGTTGAAAGCCTCCTTGGGTACACACTCCAAAAAATTCTGAATTTTACTTGCAATGTAAACATCTATGCATGCAAACATTCATACATGTAAACTTCATTTTCACGTAAACTAGCAACTTGCAAGAAATGTTGCAAACAAAAGTGGACAGTTGCATACAATATATGGGATATTACATGACATGTCTCATAAATTTACACGATCTATAATCTAAACTTGTATGATATATGACGCTCCATTTATGTGCATCATAGTAACGGAAATTTACACTACTTTTTTTAGCTGTGCATGATTCTGCTTTGATGACATGCGTTGCTTTATAGAAGACTAGACTAAGGTACTTTTCAAAGGATTTTTTCAGTTCATTCGAACCTTTTACATGATATATACATTTCAAATCGCAATTTTCAAGATTTGGGAACACTTGATCCCCCCTTTGTTTCTATGCAATTGAATATAAATTTTTACACGCATCCTAGGGTGGTCGAATGTGTGAAAATTCCGGGGAATCAGATCTCCACAAACAGAGTTTTATTTTTTTAACGAAGGACTACGTCTTTGTGGAATATCTTCTTCTTCTTATTCGCATTTCAAGCTTATTGCTTAGCGCATATTAGCTTATTGCGTGCTCTCAACTTAGTGTTCTAAATGCACTTCCACAGTTATTATTGAGAGCTTTCGATGCCAATACCAATGCATGAATTTGTATATTGTGTGGCAACCACAATGATACTCTATGCCCAGGGAAGTCGAGAAAATTTCCAACCCGAAAGATTCCCTCGACCGGACCGGGAATCGAACCCGCCGCCTCCGGCTTGGTAATACCGTGCCTTTACTGACTAGGCTATGAGGCCCCACCTTTGTGGAATATAGTAGGGTGCAAATCTAAAAATTGTGTAACGAAATAGTGTCATGTTTAAAACGCTTATAACTTGACCATTTATGGATGGATTCCAATTCTTATCACACCATTTGTTTCAGATTTGATGTAAGATTAGTTTGATCTAAATATTATAGTAGTTTATGATTGGAAAACTGTTGAAAATTTATCAACCTTTTTGGTCATAATCAACCAATCACTTGCATGCTTCTGGCCCTTATTACCGATGTCACTTCACGGTGAAGTGACAACATATCACTCACGGTGAAGTGATTCCTATTTGATTTACACGGCAATCACTTCACCGTGAGTGACAACTGGTCACTTCACTTCGTTTTCACCGTGAAGTGACACCCGTAATAAGGCCCTCTATTAGTATCGAGAGAACAGAGAGACGAGCCGTTAACGAGGTTTCAAAGAGCGTACCTGTAAGTTTTCGTCTGTGGATATGGCGGTTGTCACATCTTTAGATGATGATATGATGATGATATGGAACTACCACTCACTGTAGCCAGACAACTGTCGGCAGACTGTGGAATATCCTCGACTATTCGATTTGATCAAGTTTCATAACCTTTCAACCTGCCATTGTATGAAGGACCAAAATCGGTTTCGGTGAATCCGTCGGTAGCAACGCCCTGAGCATCCACGAGATAAATGAGAATCTCCTTCCAAAAACTCGATCATACAACCGGTTGAAAAATAGGCCATCCAACAGGAGGATGCCCCAATGAGTGGGGAGAAGAGCCCACCCTCTTTTCACGAAATGTTAAATACAGGGAGTTGGTATTTACACTCTCTCCATCCATTTCGCTTCAATCGGGTACCCTCCCGTACCTAGCATATAGTGTTTCATAATAATAATGGAATGAAAGTTAAAAGAAAAATAAAGGAAGATCTCACCCGATATGTTGCAAAGGAATCCATGACATTACGATAATTTCGAAGAGCTTCCATATATACGCTGCTGCTACTTCTTCAACCGGTGTTAAAAACAGCACTCTCGCCTTTCTTTCCTCACACAGCAGCATAAACCCCTATCAACCACTGAACACACTCTAGCTGCTCCAACTTGAGGGATCTCTGCACAGAAAAAAAGGGACTTCAAATCACTCGCGACACAACGGCTTCAGTTTGCCAGTACACATCCTGTAAGATGCAGCGCCAGCTCCTCCCCGGCCGAAACAACTCGCGATCAACGCCGCAATCAGAATCGACAACTCCAGCGACCGGCAACAAACGCGTCTAAAAACAGCCACGGCACGCTTCGATTGCATTTCTGAAACACAACCTCAACCAGCGCAGCCAGCACATGAAAGTGACTCGAAATAAGGCAAACATTTCTGTCCTAGGCATCGCACAAACTACTACAAGGGTAAAACGCCGGATCGGAGCAGAATTAGGCTCACGCGTTTCCCCATTTTCGCGTGAATTTTAATTAATTAATTAATTTAGCTTTATTTAGGAGGCTTTCAGCCTTAGGCTGGTTCGCCTCCAATACGTGAATTTTAATTGTCACCGTAAACCTTACAACATCTTTAGTTAAGATTGACGGATGGAAGATTCCCAACGGGATTGAATTGGCTGATGCAGTATTTTTCGAGACAAATCGAGTAGATATCGGATTTCACTGGGTGAACAGGTACCGACGCTCAATGATTCCGTTTTTGGATGGGTCGTTCGTGGAGGTCTGTCTATTCCAAATAATTCACTTCAACTTAGCTGTAACGCAACAATGACCAAATCTCTGGATTTGTTGATGGAGCGATTTTGGGCTTGTGAAGAAATCGGTTAAGAAAGAGCTTATTCTCCAGAGGAACGGCGTTGTGAGGAATTATACCAGCAAACGGTTTGTCGTGACACGGATGGTCGGTACACCGTCACACTTCCAAAGAACCACGACACCATTTCGCGGCTAGGTGAATCACGGGAGATCGCCTTCCGACGACAACAAGGGACGCCGATTTGCGACAGCAATACACCTCCTTTATGGAAGAATATCTTACGTTGGGACACATGCGGACGATCGAACAAGCTACTCAGGATACGGTCCAACGGTGCTTCTTACCGCATCATCCGGTGGTTAATGCATCGAGTACTACCGCCAAGATCCGAGTAGTGTTTGATGCTTCCTGCAAGACGGCATCAGGGGTGTCGTTGAATGATGTTTCGCTGGTGGGACCAGTGACTCAGGATGATTTGAGGTCGATTATCTTGCATTTCCGTACTCGCCAGCTCATGATCGTGTAGGATGTTGAAAAAATGGTCGGCCAAATTAACCTTTACGCCGATGACAGACTACTTCAATGCATCCTGTGGAGATTGTCGCCGTTGGAAGAGGTAGAGGTGTATGAATTGAACAGCGTTACGTACGGTACCAAGACAGCTCCCTTTCTGGCTACACGGACGGTCAAACAACTGGCAATCGATGTGGAAACACAGTCTCCGCTTGCAGCACGGGCAGCTAAAGAGGACGTATACATGGATGACGTCAGCGGCGCCGATGGTGTAGTGGTAAGCATGATAACCTCTCACCCCAGCAGGTCTGGGTTCAATCCCAGTCGGCGCCGCCGGGATGTTCTGAGGCATAACATCTCTGATCACGTCTTCCTTCGGTCCCCGGTTCATGAGTTGATGGGTCGAT